AATTTATAAGTTTTAAATTAAATAAAAATTAAAGCAACCCAAGAATAGGAAGTTTCAATAGGAAGTTTCTTTTTCTGTCTCATAAACACGCTAAGATAACAGGGATATCTTGCTACTCCTACTTACACTTTGGTCACACTTCACAGACACGCACATGCATATATATATATACATACATCTAGGTTTTTCTCCTTTTTCTAAATAGCTCTTGTTCTCTTTTTTATTTCTTCTATTGTCCATGGGGAAGTGGAGAAGAATCTTTCCTCCGTAAGCCATGCGTGTCGTATGAGGCGACTAAAATGCCGGGAGCAATGGGCTAGTAACCCCTTCTCCTGTATCAATTACTAAAAAAGAGAAGAAGAAAAACTTTATAAAACTGGGTTGTTTAAAAATGTGCGGGGATGTAGTGCGGATGACAAAAAAACAGATGATTGCTGATGTTATGAATGAAAGAAGTTGGATGTCCTGGCCCTAAGCGAAACAAAGCTGAAGGGGGTAGGAGAGTTTCAGTGGGGGGAAATAAATGGGATTAAATCTGGAGTATCTGAGAGAGTTTTGAGCAAAGGAAGGGGTAGCAGTAATGTTAAATGATCAGTTATGGAAGGAGGAAAAGAGAATATGAATGTGTAAATTCAAGAATTATGTGGGTTAAAGTAAAGGTTGGATGCGAGAAGTGGGTCATAATAAGCGTGTATGCACCTGGAGAAGAGAGGAATGCAGAGGAGAGAGAGAGATTTTGGGAGATGTTAAGTGAATGTATAGGAGCCTTTGAACCAAGTGAGAGAGTAATTGTGGGAGGGGACTTGAATGCTAAAGTAGGAGAAACTTTTTAGAGAGGGTGTGGTGGGAAATTTTGGGGGCCAGGTGTAAATGATAAGGGGGGCCCTTTGATTGAATTTTTGATAAAAAGGGGTTTAGTTTATAGGTAATACAATTTTAAGAAAAAGAGGAAAAATAAGTTCCATATGATGTGGGGCGAAATGACAGTATTTTGTTGGATTTGTATTGGTAGAAAAAAGACTGTTGAGTGACTTCGGTGTCTGTTTATAGAGGGGCCCAGATATATCAGATCACTTTCTAGTTGAGCACACTGGGGGAAAAAGGTGAGGGGGATAAAAGGGGAGAATAGAAGCATGGGGGAAAGAGAGGTGAAGGTTTATAAACAAAAAGAGGGGGGCATTAGGGTAAGATATAAAAGCTATTGGAGGATGTGGCTAATAGGCATAGGCAATGGGGCGAAGAGGTAGGGGGTGGGGTTTAAAAATGTAGTGTTAGAGGTTCAGCAAATTTTTGTGGTTACAGGAAAGGGGGGTGCGGAGGGAAGAGGAGCGATTGGGGGAAATGATGATGTAAAAGAGTGAAAGGGAGAAAAATTTACATAGGGAAAAGTTTTTCAAGTAGAAAATGATGCAAAGGGGGGAAGGTAAAAAGGAAAAAAGAAGAGGTTAAGGAAGGGGGGTGAAGCAAAGTAAAAAAAAGCAAATGAGGAGTGGGTGAGAGTTACAACAAATTTTTTTGAAAAAAAAAAAAAGTTTTGGATGAGATTAACAAGTTAAGAAAAATAGAGAAAAAATTGATTTGTCATTTTTAAAAAAAGGAAGGAGATTATTAAATGGAGAGTTAGAGGTATTGGGAAGATGGAAGGAATATTTTGGGGAATTGTTAAATGTTGATGAAGATAGGGAAGCTGTAATTTCGTGTATAGGGAAATGGGGGAATAACATCTTGTAGGAGTGAGGAAGAGCCATTTTGTGAGTGTGGGGAATTCGTGAGGCAGTAGGTAAAATGAAAGGGGTAAGGCAGTCGGGATTGATGGGATAAAGATAGAAATGTTAAAGCAGGGGGGGATTAGTTTTGGAGTGGTTGGTGCAATTATTTAATAAATGTATGGAAGGGGGGTTTAAGGTACCTAGGGATTGGCAGGGGAGCATGCATGGGTTCCTTTGTATAAAGGTAAAGGGGATAAAAGAGAGTGCAAAAATTATAGGGGGATAAGTCTGTTGAGTGTACCTGGTAAAGTGTATGGTAGAGTTATAATTGAAAGAATTAAGAGTAAGACGGAGAATAGGATAGCAATGAACAAGGAGGCTTTAGGAAAGGTAGGGGGTGTGTAACCAGGTTTTTACAGTGAAACATATAAGGGGAACAGTATGTAGATAAGGCTAAAGAGGCCCTTTGTGGCATTTATGGATTTGGAAAAGGCGTTGACGGGGTGGATAGGGGGGCAATGTGGCAGATGTTGCAAGTGTAATGGTGTAGGAGGTAGGTTACTGAAAGCATGAAGAGTTTTTACGAGGATAGTGAGGCTAAAGTTAGAGTATGTAGGAAAGAGGGAAATTTTTTCCCAGTAAAAGTAGGCCTTAGACAAGGATGTGTATTTTCACCGTGGTTGTTTAATATATTTATAGATGGGGTTGTAAGAGAAGTAAATGCGAGGGTCTTGGCAAGAGGCGTGGAGTTAAAAGATAAAGAATCACACACAAAAATGGGAGTTGGGCACAGCTGCTCTTTGTGATGAAAACTGGGGCTCTTGGGAATTCTGAAGGAGAAGTTGCAGAGAAATTTGGGGGATGAATTTGGTAGGGTGGCAAAAAGAAGAAAATTAAAGGTGAATACAGGAAAGAGTAAGGTTATGAGGATAAAAAAAAAGATTAGGTGATGAAAGATTGAATAAACGATTGGAGGGGAGAGAGTATGGAGGAGGTGAACGTTTTCAGATATTTGGGAGTGGACGTGTCAGCGGATGGGTCTATGAAAGATGAGGTTTAATCATAGAATTGATGAGGGAAAAAGAGTGAGTGTGCACTTAGGGGTCTGTGGAGACAAAGAACTTTGTCCTTGGAGGCAAAGAGGGGGGAAAGTATGAGAGTATAGTTTTACCAACGCTCTTATATGGGTTTTGAAGCGTGGGTGATGAATGTTGCAGCGAGGAGAAGGTGGAGGCAGTGGAGATGTCATGTCTGAGGGCAATGTGTGGTGTGAATATAATGCAGAGAATTCGTAGTTTGGAAGTTAGGAGGAGGTGCGGGATTACCAAAACTGTTGTCCAGAGGGCTGAGGAAGGGATTGTTTGAGGTGGTTCGGACATGTAGAGAGAATGGAGCGAAACAGAATGACTTCAAGAGTGTATCAGTCTGTAGTGGAAGGAAGGCGGGGTAGGGGTCGGCCTAGGAAGGGTTGGAGGGAGGGGGTAAAGGAGGTTTTGTGTGCGAGGGGCTTGGACTTCCAGCAGGCATGCGTGAGCGTGTTTGATAGGAGTGAATGGAGACAAATGGTTTTTAATACTTGACGTGCTGTTGGAGTGTGAGCAAAGTAACATTTATGAAGGGATTCAGGGAAACCGGCAGGCCGGACTTGAGTCCTGGAGATGGGAAGTACAGTGCCTGCACTCTGAAGGAGGGGTGTTAATGTTGCAGTTTAAAAACTGTAGTGTAAAGCACCCTTCTGGCAAGACAGTGATGGAGTGAATGATGGTGAAAGTTTTTCTTTTTCGGGCCACCCTGCCTTGGTGGGAATCGGCCGGTGTGATAATAAAAAAAAAAAAATAAAATATTACTAAATTTTAATTCATTAAAGCAAATATATGTATTTCACCTATATGATCTGCATTTCACAGTCATCAAAGTAAATTGAGCCTAATGTAAGGCATACACAACTCACTTTAAAACTCTGTACTTTCTTGGTGACTTCTTTTGGTCGACCAATGTCGCGACATTGCAAATCTACCTCCGGATCAAAATATTCATCGGCAGTGATATTACTTGGATTGTTCAGACTATACGTCTCACTCTGGAAAAATGAAACAAATCTACTGTAGGCACAATAAAACTAACTTACAGAATAGAAGGCACTTATACAAAACTTTGCACACTACATATTTTATGTCCAGAAACAAGACACAATACTGGTTACATTTAAGAACTGTAGAGATACTACTTACTTCTTCAGAGGATGAAGGAGAGTTTTGTTTTTCTTCTACTTCTGCAATATTAAGGAATGACTGAATTGGACTCCTAGGTGATGATTTCTCTTTGTCAGCATCAGTCAAGTGCTCTGTGCGAGTCTTTGTTACAAGCTCAACATTGATAGCAGAAAATACCTGTTGGAATACTTACTACAATCAACGAGTCAAATAAAAAATAGACCTGTTATAAAAATGATTTATAAAACATTCAATATTAACCATAGTTATGTATTTGTTACTAGGGCTACTGCAGCACAAGGCTGGTCTAAGACCAGGACTTGTAAATTAAAAAAAAAAAGTTACAGGAATAAGAAATATGGTACCAAGAAATACAGTAGAGAATGTTATTTTGTTTAAACTTAATTAATAATTATTAGCTTTAACACGCTGGCCATCTCCCACCTGTATATATGTATTACATTTAGTAATATATGTATACAGGAGATGGGTTACTAGCCTCTTGCTCCCGGCATTAAAGTTGCCTCTTACAACATGTATAGCTGATGGAGGAAGGATTCTTCTCCACCTCAAAAATATTCAAAATTATTAGATATGTCTGGTCGAAAGGCAGTGCCTGTACTCTGAAGGAGGGGATGAGGCAGTTGGAGGGCAATCTGACTTATGATGTCAATGCACCTCTGGCAAAATAGTGATTGAATGAATGGTAATGAATGTATTTGTTCCTTGGGTTACCATACCTTGGCAGGAGACATCTGGCCAAGTTGAAAAAGAAAAAAGTTAGCCCACCCTGACCTGTTGCTGGTTTGTGTAACAGATGAACCTATCAAAAGTGTCATTTTTCAATTACTAAATACAAAGCAGTTAGACTACAGCACCACAAGTATAACAAGGCAGTAATAGAAAGGATAGTGAACAGTGGGGGGAAGAGGGGTCAAGTATGCCTGTTCAGAGTACACTGTAAGCATTAAAATTAAAAATTTATTTATACACTGTCGTCACGTGGGGAGTTCGAAATGTGGACTGGGTAATAACACTCACGAAGGCTGTAAGTACGTATATTCGGCGGACTATATGGGAAGTGCCAAGCCTGACCTGCGTCTCTCCTGTCTATCCTTCAACTGACTCACTGTGGTGCCTAGGGGGTGAGCAGCATTCAAATCATGCTAAGGTCAGCTGTAACAGTGAATAACAGTCAGTGATTCACGCAAGAGCAGAGGATCAGTAACGGTTGGTGTATGAGTCATTACTACTGACACTAGTAACTGGTTACTGGTAACTGGTACTACTGAGAGCTCGTTCTAACGGCGGAAATACCCTTAAATCCATGCCCACAACGCTGCCACCAAACTGTCACGTGGGGGGTTCGAAACGTGGATTGGGTAATAACACTCACGTAGGCTGTAAGTACGTATATTCGACGGACTATACGGGAAGCGCCAAGCCTGACCTGCGTCTCTCCTGTCTATCCTTCAACTGACTCACTGTGGTGCCTAGGGGGTGAGCAGCATTCAAATCATGCTAGGTCAGCTGTAACAGTGAATAACAGTCAGTGACTCACGCAGGAGCAGAGAATCAGTAATGGTTGGTATATGAGTCATTACAAATGACACTAGTAACTGGTTCTACTGAGACTGTTGCCAAGCAGGGTACAATACTGAAATTTTGGTACATTGCAATTTTTGGTATCAGAACTTTCATTTGTTGAACCTTTCATAACCAGATCACCCATAATCATGCAAAGCTAAAGTATCCTCTTATACACTACAACTTTATTTTTCTGTAGTATACACAATGTAGTTTACAAGTAGTAAAATAAATATTATTAAGCACAAAAAAAAGGCACTAGAATGCAGTGCATTGACTAACAGTTATCTACAGTGGTAGCAGAGCCAGGACTTCAACCTCTGGGGAGGAGCTTAAAGCTGGGGAGAATATTGGAAAGAGCTTAAAAATTTTAAGATGCTGAAAAAAATTAAGAAATCACCTTTAAAAACCTATGATCTTCAGTAAAAATTAAGAAATCACCTTTAAAAACCTATGATCTTCAGTAAAAATTAAGAAATCACCTTTAAAAACCTATGATCTTCAGTATGAGAAATTTCTTAAAACTATCATGCTTTTGTGGTTACTGGTCAATATAACACAGCAAAAGTTAACCACTGAAACAAGTGTGTGTGGGTGGCTTTAGTGTCATTAACCCCCAATAATCCCATGGTACTTCAAGTTTCATCAAACTCATTCATCTCTTCATTAGGTTACCTGTTAACTAAACTTTCATCCACATCTAATTAATTAAAATAACTATTTTTACAAGTGGTTCAACATGCAAATATATAACCATAATATTATAAAGCAGAATAAAATGACTTACCTTACATTCATGACCATTAACATTTTCACTTCGATCACTCCTCCAGCCCCATATGCCAGCTTTATCTCTTAAAAAGAAAAATGTAATGATGATTATGTAGTGTAGGCATGTCTCTGGCAAGACAGTGATGGAGTGAATGATGATGAAAGTGTTTCTTTTTCGAGGTCACCCTGCCTCGGTGGGAAACAGCCAATGTATTAGTAAAAAAATTATGATAAAAGCTATTGAACACATTGGCTGTTTCCTACAAAGGTAGGAAGATCTAAAGATAGAGCCATTTACCATCATTCATTTCCTGTCTTCCCAGAAATATACTATGACTGTAATATACTCTTTTGCATATTTCATAACAAATACAGTATCAAACTACTAAATTGTTGACTTTTTTGATTACTAAAATATCAACACAAAACCAACCTTTCAAAGCTGATTTTTTCAGTGTCAATATATGTGATGGCTATAGGAGTAGTTAGTCTGTGTGACACCATGCCAGGGTGAGGTCTCATATAAGTATATGCTTGTTCTGGTGGTAGAGTTCGCATGTTCTCCATGTATACCTGCAAACACCAAATAAGACATTTGAAACTAAAAAACTGCTATCAACCTGACAGACAGAGAGAAATATTTTTTTTTTCAACACGTTGGTCATCTCCCACCAAGGCAGGGTTACCCAAAAAGAAAGAAAATACTGTCATCATCATTCAACACAAACCCTTCCTTTAAAGTGCAGGCATTGTACTTCCCATTTCTAGGACTCAAGTCCAGCTAACTGGTTTCCCTGAATCCCTTCACAAAACATTACCCTCCTCACACTCCAACAGCTTGTTAGGTCCCAAAAGCCATTCGTCTCCATTCACTCCTATGTAACACGCTCACACACGCTTGCTGGAAGTCCAAGCCCCTTGCCCACAAAACCTCCTTTACCCCCTCCCTCCATCCTTTTCGAGGATGACGCCTACCCCGCCTTCCTTCCCCTACAGAATTATATGCTCTCCAAGTCATTCTACTTTGATCCATTCTCTAAATTATCAAATGACCTCAACATTCCCTCTTCAGCCCTCTGATTAATACTTTTAGTAACTCCATACCTCCTCCTAATTTCCACACTCTCAATTCTCTGCATAATATTCACACCACACATTACCCTTAGACAGGACATCTCCACTGCCTCCAGCGACCTCCTCGCTGCAGCATTTGCAACCCAAGCTTCACACCCTTGTAAGAGTGTTGGTACCACTATACTTTCGTACATTCCCTTCTTTGCCTCCATGGATAACATATTTTGTCTCAACAGATACTTCAATGCACCACCCACCTTTTTTTCTTCATCAATTCTATGGTTAACCTCATCCATAATAATACATATACAGTGGTACCTCGGGATACGAACAGCTCAAAATGCGAACAATTATTTAAGGGTATTTATGTAAGTGCCTTTGTAAGTGTATTTTTGGGGGTCTTAAACAGATTAATCTAATTTACATAATTCCTTATGGGAACAAATTCGTTCGGTATCAGCACTCGAACAGCCTTCTGGAACAAATTAAGTTTGTATCCCGAGGTACCACTGTATAGTAAAGGTTAGAGGGAGGAGGTAAAGGAAGTTTCGTGGGCAAGGGGCTTGAACTTCCAGCAAGCATGTATGAGCGTATTAGGAGTGAATGGAGACGAATGGTTTTTGAGACCTGACGAGCTGTTGGAGTGTGAGCAGGGTAATATTTTGTGAAGGGATTCAGGGAAACCGGTTAGCCAGACTTGAGTCCTGGAAATTGGAAGTACAATGCTTGCACTTTAAAGGAGGGGTCTGGGATACTGGCGGTTTGGAGGGAGGTCTAAACTGTCATATTTGAGTGCCTCTGCAAAGACAGTGATTATGTATGAGTGATGGTGAAAGTGTTGAATGATGAAAGTTTTTTCTTTCTTTTTGGGTTTTTTTCTTTCTTTTTGAGTCACCCTGCCTCTGTGGGAAATGGCCAACATGTTAAAAAAAAATATGAATAAAATTTTATACATTTTTTAACACACTGGCCATCTCCCACCGAGGTAGGGTGACCCAAAAGAAACACTTTCACCATCATTCACTCTATCATTATCTTGCCAGAGACATGCAGATACAACAGTTCAGATGTCCCTTCAAACAGCAAATATCCTACCCCTCCTTTACAGTGTAGGCACTGTACTTCCCACCTCCAGGACTGTTTGTTGTGTGAATAACTAAAGGGAATTTCTACAGGACATCCAAGACCACCAAAAACTACTTATTGGAAGGAGATGGCTTGCGCTTAAAAAACAAAAACAAAGGAGAGCCATCAACCTAAGTCCAGCCTGCCCACAACAGTCCTCTACATTATTTTTAATTGCAACAAGTGATTATATGCTGAGGGGGACATGCTTAACTAGTAGGAATCACAAAGCACCTGGAGAACAAGAGGTAATCAGGAATGATCCAAGGAGAGGAGGGCATTTTCAATGCTTCACATGAGGATACCAAACAGGAAAGATATTTAGGTAGCATTACCAGAACAATGTAAAATAGATATATAAAGTAAGAACTGCCAAAATAAGCAAGATAATATTCTGGTAAAAGTGCCTGGAAGTTTTCACCATTTCCCACCGAGGTACGGTGACCCGAAAAAGGAGAAACAGAAGTGTTTCTTCTTTCTGCATTTAGTAATTTATACAGGAGAAGGAGTTACTAGCTCCTTGCTCCCTGCATTTTAGCCACTTCTTACAACACACATGGCTTCCATAAAGTACTAAAAAAAAAAAAATACTAAAAGAAGCCCCTAAAATAAGTGCTATGTAATTCTTCATGCTAATTTAGTTATCACAAAAATGTAGCAAGATCTCTACCACTTGCTTATATCTCCATTTAATTCGACTCACCTGTGAAGTTTCGTGATCAACCTCCATCATTGTAGCACCATCAGCTGGAAGAACAAAAGTCATGTTAAATATGTTACACTTATTAGCAGCTCAAGCTAAATCACTGTGGAAGTGAGACTCTCCAGCACATCATGCAGTTTGAGGAAACTGGATTTTAGTTTTGCATTCTTCATTTATATTTTTTTTTTTTAACACACTGACCGTCTCCTAACAAGGCAGGGTGACCCCATAAAAAGAAATGATAGCTTTCCTTCCTTTTACATTCAATAATTTATACAGGAGACAGGGTTACTAGCCCCTAGCTCCCAGCATTTTAGTCACCTCTTACAATACACACGTGGCTTATGCAGAAAGGATTCTTTTCCACTTCCCCACAGAGTGAATTAAATTACAGTAGGGCCCCACTTTACGACACTTTGCTTTACAGCGATTCACTATTACAGACATTTCAAATTATGACCACAAATTTGTTTATATGGCTTCCTGACTTGCTATTACGGTGTCTGTGCAACACTTTGTTTACATCCTCCATGAGCTCCATGTCTCTCAATTATGTCTGGAAACTTTCCAAAATTTCAGATATTTTAAAATTACTGCATTTTTTTTTTTTTTTAACATGTTGGCCATTTCCCAACGAGGCAGGGTGACCCAAAAAGAAAGAAAAAACTTTCATTATCAGTCAACACTTTCACCATCACTCAGACATAATCATTGTCTTTGCAGAGGCGCCCAGATACAACAGTTTAGATAGTCACTCCAAACTGCCAATATCCCAAATCCTTCCTTTAGAGAACAGGCATTGTACTTTTCACTTTCCAGGACTCAAGTCCAGCTAAGAATGTATGTCAGCAAATTTTGACTGGCCATCTGGGTTGGGTAGGTGGACTACTGCCAATTACATAGAAAATACAATGCAGCTCCATATGAACATGTAATGGTCAGTGAAGAATTATCCCATAGCAGTACCACTAAGAATGACAAAGACAAACCTGTCAATTATATAAATACAAAAGCCCACATAAAATATAAAAGTATCTAGTCACTGTATTTCATTAAATATACACAATAATACCTCTCTTACAACACAAAGAGAAATAGAAAATTTAGCAAAACATGATTTTGAAAGTAAACACCCTTTTTGGTTTAGTACAGCAAATAAACACATGACATTGTATTGCATTTTATGAAGCATGGCACCCATGTGGAGCATTAAACACCAGTAGTAGCGAAGGCCCAGTCATCTTCCTGACAATCACAGGCTTTTTTTGTTTCAGCATAAACAGAAAGAATATTTAGTACAGTAATGTCAATGACAGTCACATGACATAAGACAGAATAAAAGGCACAATATCGTGACTGGAACAATACAAAAATAATCCACACATAGGATAAAGAAACTTATGGTGACATTTCAGTCCAACCTGGGCCATTAACTAGTAACACACTAACTAGTGTATGACTAGTTAATGGTCCAAGTCGGACCAAAAGTCGTAATAAGTTTCTTTATCTTACGTGCTGGTTATTTGTGTATGAGACAGACAATCTGCAAGCAGAAAATGTATGTTGTATGTAAGTCAATCCTATAATTCTGCTTACCTTGCCCCTTAAAAATATAACTGCGATTGCCCCGCTGCCAACTAGTCTGGTCAAAGCCAATAAGTGTAGTATCAATTCGAACGTTAGAGCCACTTTTGTATACCCTGTATGTGTCGCTTGGACACATGCGAGAAACCAGTGGCACTGAAGCAGAAAAAAATTAATTTTGAATTATTTTACATGTTGAGAGAAGTTAAATTATATAGTTTTCAATCATACAAAATCTATATAAAAAAATAGTGGAGAAGTAGCTAATTTCTCTGTTTTGCAGGGAAACTAACTCCCTTAATTCTCAGGCTGAAATATTAAAAATGTTCATATTTCCTGTAAAGATGCAGATATCAATAAGATTTCTCATCAACATTATTTTAGTTAAGTCAATATAGGAAATGCTTCAATGCTTCTATTTAAAAAGCTCTTGTCAAATATAATGCATTTTGAGAAAAAAATTATACAACATAAATGTAATTTTGTGAGAAAGTGTGCATTTTTTTTTGTAAATAACTTAATGGAATAGGCTCAAGTGCCAAATATACCACCCTTCCAAACACTACTCCTGAAAAGAAAAATGTATACTATATTACAACTTCTTTTTTTTTTCAACAAGTCGGTCGTCTCCCACCGAGGCAGTGTGACCCAAAAAGACACATAATCAAAACTTACAACTTAAAACTAATAGAGCATGCAAAATTATCTTGTGGTTGTTACAGAGGAGCTTACACCAATAGGTAAGGTGGTTTTCCCTTTATTTAACATTAGCTTTAAATAACAGGTGAAATTGTTAGTCAGATGACATTTAAAAGGTCGTGACAAAAATGGTCAAGACAGACAGTATATTTTGAGACCATAATATTAAAGATTAACCATTGTTTGCTTAAGAATAAAAGCCACAAATGAAGTACCTAAGAAAAAAACACAAACAAGCATTTTATAAAAAAAAGGGGAGTTACATAAAGTAATTTTGTTTTCATGGTATGTGCTTTAGATATTAAATGTTTTATCACAAAATTATGAATGGTCAATTGGGTTCTCCTAGGTAATTTACACACATGTTACTATGTATGATAATTTGTGTAACTATCTTTATGTATCTGTACCTAAATAACTTAGTAATTTTGTCTAGGCAAAACATCAATGAACCACAAGTAGATCTGTTGAAAGATAATAATGGCAAGAGAACCAAACTTAAACATTACAAAACAAATCCGTCTTATTTTACCACGCTGGTGTCTTTGCAACACCAAAAAACATCTCTATCTGTTTCATCGACACTTTGCTCCCAGAGGGAGCAAAGTGTCGATGAAGGGAAGTGTCGATGGGGAAGGTGCATGAAGGATCTTTCCCTGGATATTTTAAAACAGTATGTATTATCAAACTGGCTCTAAGGAGCACCTGAAGTGAGAAAGTAGAAGGAAAGAACATGAAAAAGAAAAAATATGGGGAAATACAGTAGTCAAAAATAGCAATGCAAAGTAACACACATAGCACAGACCAAGTTATACTGCAGTGAGTGTGTAACCAAAAGCAGGATCTGAATAAATGGTTTACAAAACTGTCACGTTGATAAATGAGACACTTTTGAAATATTTTACCACACAGTGGCTTCTTCAATCCAATGCAGAAAAAGATTAAAAATAAGAGTGGGAAAGTTTATTCTAAGGCAATCTGTGCTATACTCTGGTACTCAAAACATTGTACAAATTGTGTTGAAAATATTATAAAATACTAAGTTGATGAGTAGAACACATGTGTAATGGTTGGGTATCTTAAATGTTGAACAATAAAGATACTCAACTGTTGCTCATACATCTTACTCATCAACTGTTCACTTTACATTCAGTCATCAGACAAAGTTACAAAACACAGTACACCTTCCATTCAGTCATCAGACATGGTTAACTTTACAATAACTCACCCCAACTTGTGAATTCCCACTTCATTTCAACATAAAAATCTGGTGCCTGCAAAGAAAAGGTTACTTCAATAAATATAAAATAAAACATTATTTTTTCTGAATTACGAATTCTAGAAATAGTATACAGTAGGGCCCCACTTATTCGGCAGGTTAGGTTCCAGTACTGCTGGAAAGCAGACTTAGCCAGAAAGAAGAACTCCATTTTTTCCATTTATAAATGCATATAAATGCCAGATAACAAGTTTAACATATATTAAGTTAGCAACAGAACTAGGCATTAAAAAGTAAAATACACACACAGTACACTCATTATTTACCTCAAAATATTTGTAGTCTTAATGTAGGGCAAAAGGTGAGTAGTATTTACTCTAAGAAGTCAGGTGTGGTAGCCCTCCTGGCCACCCCACCCACACATACTATATTACAATGCTTAAAGCTCCCTAGAGCGATAAAATGCACATACACTACACACAATACTTACCTTAAAATATTTGTAGTCTTAAAATGGTCTTAACGTAGGGTGAGAGATGAAAAGTATTTATTTGTAGAAAGTCGTGTGGGAGGTATGGCATCCTGCCTAGCCACTTATACCTACGTTCCCTAGAGCGATAAAATGCATATATATAGTACACTCATTAATTACCTTAAAATATTTGTAGTCTTAATGTACAGTGAGAGGTGAGTTTTATTTGTCTGAAGTAAAGTTGGGAAGTATGGGTAGCCAGGAAGGGCAGCCCTCCCAACCCCACCCACACATAATGTAAACAAACCAGATGAACGCATCTGGCCCTCGTCACAAGTCCTACAAGTTGCCTGGCTACCACAAGTCCTACAAGTTGCCTGGCTACCACAAGTCCTACAAGTCACCTGGCTACCACATCTCATATTTATGTTAATTTATTCTACTGTAGGGTGTATTTAGATGGATTAAGCAAAATGTCTATATTAACGTTTTATACGATATTTAATGCTCCTTAGAGTGATTATTGTGTTATTATTATTATCATTATTAATATGGTATCTTCAAGACTAATAAGACACTCTTAGTGATTTTAATGTGTACCTGAATGCCAGCACAGTGTGTAAGCTTACTTAGGTACAGGTACACATACGTATCAGTTATAATAATGTAGGTAAAATTAAGACACATGTGCAACATCTGGGTATCTTTATTGTAGATGTTTCGCCATCCAGTGGCTTTATCAATACAAATTCCAGGACATAACTTGAAGATAGTAGGGCTATACAGTGGACCCCCGCATAATGATCACCTCCGAATGTGACCAATTATGTAAGTGTATTTATGTAAGTGCGTTTGTACGTGTATGTTTGGGGGTCTGAAATGGACTAATCTATTTCACAATATTCCTTATGGGAACAAATTCGGTCAGTACTGGCACCTGAACATACTTCTGGAGTGAAAAAATATCATTAACCGGGGGTCCACTGTATACAGAAGATGAGGTAATCAGTCCCTCAACCTTGGAGTAGGTGCGAAGAGCACCGTAGTCATGGAGATTCTGAAGCAGAAGCAAGGAGCCTGGCGCTTATATACTAACGTCAGGTGTAGCAGATGAACGCATAGTCACTGGTAGGAGGGATTCCCCAGTGGAAGTAGGTCCTTCCCAAAGAGATGGGTTAGTTGTAGTAGTAGTTGTCGTAGTCGTGAAGGTTATGTACATGATTACCTCATCTTCTGTATATAGTCCTACTGTCTTCAAGTTATGTCCTGGAATTTGTATTGATAAAGCCACTGGATGGCGAAACGTCTACAATAAAGATACCCAGATGTTGCACATGTGTCTTAATTTCATCTTGTCGGTATTATATACCATTCTTGCACAATAATGTAGGTACATAGTCTGCCTGGGCTACATACCTACACCTACCTACATAGCTACACGATATTTAATGTGGCCCAGAGCCACATTATTGCCATCGACATACCATGTTCACTGAGTTTAATCGTTTATAAAAACTACCTTTAGATGTCATCATAAACAAAGGGAGAAGTGAATAATTCAAGCCGAGAATTGTAAACAAAAGTGTTATGTATTAAGGGGAGTGATGTAATGTTTTCCCTCCGCCCGGCTACCACACCTCCATAGTATATAAACAAAATTTTCCTATGTTATGTAATGTGTTTCTTATTTAATTTTGAAGAAAATATCATAGCTGGATTAATGAAAATGTCTATAGTGATGTAAAATTAGACATTTAATGTGCCTGAGAGTGATTATTATTACATCATAGAGAAATGTGCTCATGGAGAATGTAAACAAACCGGGTGGCCCGCGCCGTATTTGAGTGGCCAATTGCTGTATAGAAAGTTTTGGTCATAATTCGAGATCGCCGTATTAGCGGAACGCTGTAAGGCAAAACGCCGAAACGTGGGGCCCTACTGTACATCTCTTTAGTACACAAAGTTTAGCACATAAAATCCGTCATTCCTCTTTGCCCTTTGTCAGTGACCCTCAACTGGAGTGGCTTCATCCAGATAATTATTATTAGTAATACTCACAATAAAACTGCTCTCAACCCTATTAGCAGTATGAGTACTAATTACACCTTATTGTTCCCAAATATGATAATATGAAAGTGCCAGTAACCTGAATGAAAATGGTTAAGAAATGCAAATGTGTTTCTATAACAATGGGAGAACACACAGAGAAATTTATTTTTGGAAAGGGCTGTGGTTAATACGTTGGACTACGTGCGGCCAGCATTAACACCCTGGTTGATCAGGCCCTGATCCACCGGGAGGCCTAGTCAAGGCCTAGACTGCAGGGGCACTGACCTCCCAGAACACCCTTCAGGTAAATACATTTTCATTCAGTATACCGTGGACCCCCGGTTAACGATATTTTTTCATTCCAGAAGTATGTTCAGGTGCTAGTACTGACTGAATTTGTTCCCATAAGGAATATTGTGAAGTAGATTAGTCCATTTCAGACCCCCAAACATACACGTACAAACGCACTTACATAAATACACTTACATAATTGGTCGCATTGGGAGGTGATCGTTAAGCGGGGGTCCACTGTACTTCTTTATCAGAATAGGTTAAATGTAATGCCAAATAATCAATGAATAACTTGTACTTCTTCAAGATTCTGTATCCAACTGAAAACAAGAATTATATAAAATGGATATTTCTTCCCTCCCACTGTGTAAATTCTAAATATGCCAGAAATGCCTTACATGTTTGTCTTGATTTTCTGACTTTAATAGCCTGGCATACATAACAGGTTCTTCTGAGAGCATTTCTAAATGATGCCTGGAATATCAGTGGTGTAAAATATGTATATGTATATCTATTTTTTCCTAAAAGTAGGTCAATTACCATGACAATTACAACAAACCCACAAATTATAAATCGTGCCTGGATAATATTTTTTGTTTTAAAATTTATCCAATTTGTGAGTTTACTGCAATATATATAGTATAAGACATCTAATAGGTACTTCTGAGCATATGTGATAGGAGTGAGTTGGTACCAGACGATAGGTTGGAGTGTGAGCAGAGTGATATTTTGTGAAGGGATTCAGGGAAACCAGTTAGCCAGTCTTGAGTCCTGGAGATGGGAAGTACAGTGCCTGCACTCTACAGGAGGGGTGGGGATATTTGCTGTTTGGAGAGTCATCTGAACTGTCATATCTTCCCACTTCTGACAAGATAGTGATATTGTGAATGATGGTGAAAGTGTTTCTTTTTCAGGTCACCCTACCTCGGTGAGAAAGTGTGTTTTAAAAAAAATGTATTTTTATGGCATGCTGTACTCTTACTATACAGCCTCTCCTCACTTCGCGACATACTCGAACTTATGAGAGGCTCTCTAATCAGTATGCATACCTAAATAATGTATATTAGAGCTGATTTCCTCTATTCTGTTTATTACAATATACAGTACACTACTGTATGAACATTTAAAAATATACTAAAAATGTTATAAATGGTGAAAAGGTGACATTAAAACAATATCAAAGATGAGTGAAACAAACCCACTACCATTATACTCATTTTGTACCATATATTTTTCCACATTCAAAGTAAAGAGGGAGACATACACTTCATCTTCAAGAAGCACTTAAATACCAAACAGCAGCACTTACTACATTTTCTGAAATATTCTGAATGTTTGCTTACATTCTGAGTGATGTGTATGATGCTCTCACAACATTTTGAAGAAGAGAACTAAACAAAGTAACAGTCAAACAATTCCCATAGAGCAGTGAATGTAACCACACACAGATGGAAAAGCAAACTTTCAGGGTATTAACAGAAGGATTCCCCACACTGATCAACTGACACTTCAAATGATGTTCTGAACCATAAAAATTACATTGACAAAGTACAATATTTAGAAGTTGGCTACATAGCTCCTAGATGCATGTATTTGCTTGTTTTTTTTTTTTTTGTTTTTTTTTTTCAACAAGTCGGCCGTCTCCCACCGGGGCAGGGTGACCCAAAAAAGAAAGAAAATCCCCAAAAAGAAAATACTTTCATCATCATTCAACACTTTCACCACACTCGCACATTATCACTGTTTTTGCAGAGGTGCTCAGAATGCAACAGTCTAGAAGCATACACATATAAAGATACACAACATATCCCTCCAAACTGCCAATATCCCAAAACCCCTCCTTTAAAGTGCAGGCATTGTACTTCCCATTTCCAGGACTCAAGTCCGACTATATGAAAATAACCGGTTTCCCTGAATCCCTTCACTAAATATTACCCTGCTCACACTCCAACAGATCGTCAGGTCCCAAGTACCATTCGTCTCCATTCACTCCTATCTAACACGCTCACGCACGCTTCCTGGAAGTCCAAGCCCCTTGCCCACAAAACCTCCTTTACCCCCTCTCTCCAACCCTTTCGAGGACGACCCCTACCCCGCCTTCCTTCCCCTATAGATTTATATGCTTTCCATGTCATTCTACTTTGATCCATTCTCTCTAAATGACCAAACCACCTCAACAACCCCTCTTCTGCCCTCTGACTAATGCTTTTATTAACTCCACACCTTCTCCTAATTTCCACACTCCGAATTTTCTGCATAATATTTACACCACACATTGCCCTTAAACAGGACATCTCCACTGCCTCCAACCGTCTCCTCGCTGCTGCATTTACCACCCAAGCTTCACACCCATATAAGAGTGTTGGTACTACTATACTTTCATACATTCCCTTCTTTGCCTCCATAGATAACGTTTTTTGACTCCACATATACCTCAATGCACCACTCACCTTTTTTCCCTCATCAATTCTATGATTAACCTCATCCTTCATAAATCCATCCGCCGACACGTCAACTCCCAAGTATCTGAAAACATTCACTTCTTCCATACTCCTCCTCCCCAATTTGATATCCAATTTTTCTTTATCTAAATCATTTGACACCCTCATCACCTTACTCTTTTCTATGTTCACTTTCAACTTTCTACCTTTACACACATTCCCAAACTCATCCACTAACCTTTGCAATTTTTCTTTAGAATCTCCCATAAGCACAGTATCATCAGCAAAAAGTAACTGTGTCAATTCCCATTTTGAATTTGATTCCCCAAAATTTAATCCCACCCCTCTCCCGAACACCCTAGCATTTACTTCCTTTACAACCCCATCTATAAATATATTAAACAACCATGGTGACATTACACATCCCTGTCTAAGACCTACTTTTACCGGGAAGTAGTCTCCCTCTCTTCTACACACCCTAACCTGAGCCTCACTATCCTCATAAAAACTCTTTACAGCATTTAATAACTTACCACCTATTCCATATACTTGCAACATCTGCCACATTGCTCCTCTATCCACTCTATCATATGCCTTTTCTAAATCCATAAATGCAATAAAAACTTCCCTATCTTTATCTAAATACTGTTCACATATATGCTTCAATGTAAACACCTGATCTACACATCCCCTACCCACTCTGAAACCTCCTTGCTCATCCGCAATCCTACATTCTGTCTTACCTCTAATTCTTTCAATTATAACCCTACCGTACACTTTTCCTGGTATACTCAGTAAGCTTATTCCTCTATAATTTTTACAGTCTCTTTTGTCCCCTTTCCCTTTATATAAAGGGACTATACATGCTCTCCGCCAATCCCTAGGTACCTTCCCCTCTTTCATACATTTATTAAACAAAAGTACCAACCACTCCAACACTATATCCCCCCCTGCTTTTAACATTTCTGTCATGATCCCATCAGTTCCAGCTGCTTTACCCCCTTTCATTTTACGTAATGCCTCACGTACCTCCCCCACACTTACATTCTGCTCTTCTTCACTCCTAAAAGATGGTATACCTCCCTGACCAGTGCATGAAATTACTGCCTCTGTTTTGCTTGTAAGGTAGACTATTCTTAATTCCTTCAGTATTCTAGCAGAATAGGAGAAAGCAAAAAAAATCATTATTTCAAGAATTACCTCTTTTAGTTTTGCCAAAAGGCTAGGAATACCAGCTACACGTGAGGAGTAACGCTGCATATCTCGCCCCTCCAGCACGATGCCCAAAAGCTCTGGGTCACCAGTTGCAGTGGCCTCCTGTAACACTATGACAACATTCTGTTAAACTCATACTTTAAACAAAGGCTCAGTGTTTGTTTCACATCATTCCTATTCAGTATTTCAGACTGATATCTCAATGGGACAAAAGTTATTACTGTACCTAATGGTCTCACTTACCAGTCCAACCATCATTATTCTCAACATTAACATTACAGTGGTGGCGTAGCAGTGATCTAGTGGACTCGAGGTGACCAAGGGTAACAGCCAGCATGAGGGGAGTACGCCCTCGAGGGTCACGCAGCTCTTGATTATGCTGAAAAAGTTAAAATGTGTCATAAACTAATTAGATCTGCAACGATCACTGCTATTCTGCTACATACCCTGAGGAAAAAAAAAAAAAAAAAAGAGATGAAAGGTTTTGAGTGCTTGGGACTTGAGAAATCAACAGGCCTGTGCGAGCATGTTAGAGTGGAGTGAAGACAAGCAGTTTTTATGGCATGACATGCTGCTGAAGTGTGAGCAAGGTAACATTTATGAAGGAATTGTGATGTCAGCACATTTCCAACAAAACAGCTGTTAAATAAATAATGGTGAATGCATTTCCTTTTCTTTAGGTTACCCTCCCTCACTGAGAGATGATTGGTCTTAATAAAATGCACATTAATTTCATGCTCTTGAATGTAAAAATGGGAAGAAATGCAAGAAAATCTAATTGCAAACCATAAGCATGCATTCTGAAGAAAAACCAATACCATACCTCAATTAAAAACAAAGTAAAAACTTGTACTACAGTTTAGTAATTGTGGTAGGTTCCACTACTGTTCTAGACCACTTTACAGAATAACCGACATCAACTCTGATGAAATAATCTTCTGATATAGCAATAGATTCCAGTATTGATTAGCGTAAACTAAATGTAAGTACAGTGGTACCTTGACTTACGAGTTTAATTAGTTCCGTGACCGAGCTCGTAACTCAATTTGCTCGTATATCAAAACAATTTTCCTCACTGAAATTAATTGAAATGCCATTAATCCGTTCCAGCCCCCCAAAAACCACCCCAATTTGTTTGTTATGGGTTTTTAAATAAGAAAAATGTATTTATAAATAAGAAATATTGTATACTCCACCCACCACCCTCACTTCTCCACCCACCACCATCTCTACTCCACCCACAACCTTCACTTCTCCACCCACCACCATCTCTACTCCACCCACAACCTTCACTTCTCCACCCACCACCATCTCTACTCCACCCACAACCTTCATTCTCCACCACTCACCATCTCTACTCCACCCACACTCATTCTCCCCACCATACTCCACCCACAACCTTCACTACTCCACCCACCACTATCACTACTCCACCGACCACCATGACTTCTCCACCCACCACTATCACTACTCCACCCACCACTATCACTACTCCACCCACCACTATCACTACTCCACTGACCACCATGACTACTCCACCTGCCACTATCAGTACCCCACCCACCACTATCACTACTCCATTGATCACCATGACTACTCCACCCACCACCATCACTACTCCACCAACCACCATCACTACTCCACCTGCCACTATCAGTACCCCACCCACCACTATCACTACTCCATTGATCACCATCACTACTCCATCCACCACCATCACTACTCCACCCACCACCATCACTACTCCACCCACCTTAATGTTTCTGGAAAAACTCTGAGTGTTGAAATGGAGGCTACCTCTTCCCCTGATTTATACGAGAACCAAACAAGGGACGAGGTGCCTCACTACAATCTGGGATTAGTGTGGGAGCATTATCCTTCCAGTTATGTCTTGGAAGAGCATGTGGGATGGGACGAAGTACCTGACATTCCTCTGGGTACAGTTTGATTTGACTTCAGATTCACCACCAATTAGTGGCGGCATATCTGGAGCTCGCTCGTAACTCGGATTTTGGCTTGCAACTCAAAGCAAAAAATTGACCGAGCGACAGCTTGTAACTCGAAAAACTCGTAAGTCAAGGTACCACTGTATAGAAATTTTTAAGACTTTCCTGTAATTTTTATTTGTTTTGTACGTGAAAAAGAAATGATCAGCTACTCTATAAGTGCAAAACACTTGCTAGACTTTCACTTAACACTCACATGACAGAGTGATAGTACCTCACTAAGTGGTTAATGGATACCAATCCATTGCTGCTGGCCTTACACTTGTGGATTTGGTACTTCTATTACCACACAATTCTTTAGTTAAGAACCATTTATAGAGTAAAAGGGTTATATGTATTTATTTATTTATTTATTTAGAAATTTTAGCATACATACAGAGGTACAAAAAAAATACAGGTAAGAGCAGCATGCCAAAGCCACTTATATGCATAGCATTACGGGCTGGCTTAAAATTAACTTAAGATTAACTAAGCAATGATGAAATCAGTGATAAGACATTATTGTAAACAGATAACTATAAAGCACAAATGAGTATTACAAAGACAGGTCATATGGTTGCATGCATTGCTGTTCATTCAGTAGAATGGAGTATTCTGTTAGGTAGTGTATTTAAAAAAATAACAAAGTTAGATTGGGTCCTAGGTTTAACATTTATGTGGTATAATTTTAAGGTCCAGTTATTCAGTAATTTATTTGGTTTTGAGTGAGTAAGTGAACTTTGAGAAGAGACTTGAATTTATAAACAGGTAGTGTTTCTTTTATATTTACAGGTAATGAGTTCCAGATTTTAGGGCCTTTTATGTGCATTGAGTTTTTGCATAGCGTGAGATGGACACGAGGAACATCAAAGAGTGATCTGTGCCTTGTGTTATGGTCATGTGTTCTGTTGAGGTTGGCAAGGAGATGTTTGAGGGGAGGGTTAATATCAGAGTTAAGTGTTCTATGTATGTAATAGGTGCAATAATAAGTATGGATGTTTTGTATGGCGAGTAGGTTGAGTGTTTTGAATATTGGTGGAGTGTGCTGCCTGTAGTGAGAATTTGTTATCATTCTAACTGCAGCCTTTTGTTGGGTAATTAGTGGTCTGAGATGGTTAATTGTTGTTGAGCCCCATGCACAAATTCCATAGGTGAGATAGGGGTAAATAAGAGAGTGATAAAGGGCCAGGAGGGCTGACTGTGGAACATAGTACCGTATCTTCGATAGTATGCCTACAGTCTTGGAAATTTTCTTAGAAATTTGTTGTATATGTGTATGAAATTTGAGTCTATTATCGAGGTGGATTCCTAAGAATTTTCCCTCTGTTAGCTTTGAGATAGGTGATCCGTTTATCGTTATGTTAAGAGGTTCATCTGTAGCTCTGTTTCCAAACTGAATGAAGTAGGTTTTGTCAATGTTTAGTGTAAGTTTGTTAGTCCTCATCCAGGTAGATATTTTCTGTAATTCGGTGTTTACAGTATTGGCTAGCGTGACTGGGCTCGGGTGAGAGAAGACGTATGTAGTGTCATCTGCAAAAAGTGTGGGTTTGAGTAATTGCGAAGCATTTGGTAGGTCATTTATGTATAGGAGAAAGAGAAGAGGGCCAAGGACACTTCCCTGTGGGACACCAACTGTAATTGGTTGTGCGGAAGAGCTTGCCCCATTTGCGTACACATATTGGCTTCTGTTGCTGAGGTAAGACTTGAGGTAGTTGAGGGAGTGCCCTCTAATACCATAGTGTGACAATTTTACGTGGAGCAAGTCATGGTCAACTGCATCAAAAGCTTTACGTAAGTCAATGAAGATCCCCAGTGGGACTTCTTTTATCTCTATTGCAGTGTATATATGTTCTAGCATGTGTATAACAGCATCATTAGTATTTTTATTAGGCCTGAATCCAAATTGGCAGGGGTTGAGAATGTTTTGGGAGATGAGGTAGAAGTAGATTCGTTTATGAATTAATTTTTCAAAGATTTTTGAGAGAGGGTGTAAATTGGATATTGGCCTATAGTTATTCAACTCTGTTTGGTCTCCTCCTTTATGGATCGGGGTGACCCTTGCTATTTTGAGAACTGTAGGGAAGGTGGAGGATTCAATGGATTTGTTAAAGAGTGTTGCAATGATTGGTGATAGTACTTGTGATGCTTTTTTGTATATAAAGGGTGGTAAGGTATTCAAATCTCCTGCCTTGTTTTTCAGTGCGTTGATAATAAGGGAGACTTCGTATGGGTTAGTCGGAGCTAGGAACAGTGTGTTCGGGTAGTTGCCAGTGAGGTAGTCATTTGGTGGGGTATCTGAGCTTGGGATTTTATTGGCAAGGTTTTGACCTATAGCGGAGAAGAAATCATTGAGTCTGTTTCCTGTTTCTGTTGGTGGGAGTTGGGGTTCATCTGATTTTGCTAATTTTATTTCGCTATGTCGTGATATCTTTTTTGTTCCCAGAATTTCTGATAGGGTCTTCCAGGTCTTTTTTATATCACCTCGTAAGTTGGATAATCTGTTCTCATAATACAATTTTTTTGCCCTTCTTATCAGGCTGGTTAGGATTGACGAGTAACGTTTTGTTTGGTCTCTGGTTATGTGACCCATTCTGTACTGTTTTTCATATCGGTGTTTTGTATTTATGGATTTGAGAATGCTGGGTGTTAGCCAGGGACTGTTCAGTCTCTTAGCTGTCATCTGTTAGTTTTTTTAGGGCAGTGCTTGTTATAAAGGTATTGGGTCTTTTTTAGAAAATTATTAAAACATTCTCAATATCTGTATAGATTTCTAGCTCAGTGTGCCAGTCAATGTTTGTTACTGCTGTTGTGAAGTTATTAATGGCTGCCTCATTGTGAAGTCTGAAGGTGACTTTAGTAGTGTCTTGGGGTATTTTACCAAGAGTTGTTATGAGGAAAGTAGGGTAGTGGTCTGTGGTATTATCTGTAATTATGCCTGATTTTAAAGGGGATATGGTGTTGGTCCAGATGTGGTCAAGTAGGGAAACACTAGTCTCTGTAACTCTTGTAGGTTTTGTTACTGTTGGTAGCAACATGCAGTTACTCATTGTGTTTGTGAATTCAGTAAAGAACATACATCCTTTCATAAAAAAATTAAAATTTCATGTTCATACAACAACTAGCTCATTAACTAAGTGGCCTGCATACCAAATATCAAATCCTAGCCTTAAATGAGTATGCATATATGTACATACTGTATACACAATTTTATAATTATATTCATGGGGATGGGAACCGCCAAAGCTGTAGGGGGTCATATAACTCCAGGGAGGAATGGGAGCTAATCAGAGTCCATCCAAGGGAGGTCAGGCCCCATTCCTTGGAGGAAAAGACCCTCATTGGCAGCAAGGAACCTCCTCTGATGACTATACATAGAAAAACAAAAAATGATAACATCAATAATATGGTGACTGCCACATCTCTATCTTCAGTGTCTAGGAATAAAAAAACCACCATCCAATACCAACCTTTCCACATATTTTATGAAAACAAAAATAACTAAATAAATCATCAGAACCAATGTATAAATCAATAATCTACAAACCTTGTTTTTACCCAGTTCTGTTTCAAGTCTTCGATAGTCATTATGCCAAACCAGCCAGTGAAGTGGATAACAGTCTTGTCCACCTCTGCTCTGTGAGCTAACTTCAAACCCAAGACAAGAGTTTCCAGCCACTTTTCCAATCTGGTCTGTAGTTTTTACTGCTGCTTGGGCCCCACTTCCTGGCTTGTTGCCACTTTCTGAACTGACAGAGTCTTTTTCATCCACTTTAACTCTAAGAGCCACTTTTTTTGCACTTTTAACTTCATCAGAAAGTGAGGCTCCATTGATCTGCTTATCTTTTGTCCCATGACAATTGTTCATTTTACCATCTGCCTCTGCCATAAGGAACTTCTAGGTTTATGTACTGAAAACCTGAAACATTTTGAGAATATTGTAAAAACATTACCATATATCAAACTGTAACGACTGCAACATTAAAATTACATGTACGTGTGTGTGTGTGTGTGTTGTGTGTGTTGTATGTGCGTGAGATAAGAGAAAATAAGATTTTTGTTCAGATTTTTAACTCCAGAGGGTTAGCCACCCAGGATAACCCAAGAAAGGCAGTGCATCATCGAGGGACTGTCTCTTATTTCTATTGTCTTATTTCTATCTTGTCCCCCACACTGCGACCCACACCAGTCAACTAACACCTGGAGAATACCTGGAGAGGGTTTCAGGGGTCAATGCTCCCGCAGCCCGGTCTGTGACCAGGCCTCATGGTGGATCAGGGCCTGATCAACCAGGCTGTTAGTGTTGGCCGCACGCAACCCGACGTATGAACCCTAGCCCAGCTGTTCAGGTACCAACTCTAGGTGCCTCTCCAGTGCCTTTTTGAAGACAGCCATGAGTCTATTGGTAATCCCCTTTATGTACCTTCCTGCTTGCCTGCTAGGTGAACAGAACAACAGCTGTAAGGAAACACGCCCAATGTTTCCACCCGTACCTGGAGAGGGTTTCGGGAATCAACGTCCCCGTGGCCCAGTATATGACCAGGCTTCGGTGTAGATCAGGCGCCTGATCAACCAGGTTGTTACTGTTAGCCACATGCAAACTGACATACAAACCACAGCCCAGCTGGCCAGATACTGATTTTAGGTGCCTGTCCAGTGCCTTCTTGAAGACGGCCATACCAGGGATCGAACCACGGATACTCAGCATGTGAACCGAGAGCGTTGCCTACCAGGCCATGGGTCTATGCGTGTGTTATATATATATATGCCATGTCTGAGGGCAATGTGTGGTGTGAATATAATGCAGAGAATTCGTAGTTTGGAAGTTAGGAGGAGGTGCGGGATTACCAAAACTGTTGTCCAGAGGGCTGAGGAAGGGTTGTTGAGGTGGTTCGGACATGTAGAGAGAATGGAGCGAAACAGAATGACTTCAAGAGTGTATCAGTCTGTAGTGGAAGGAAGGCGGGGTAGGGGTCGGCCTAGGAAAGGTTGGAGGGAGAGGGTAAAGGAGGTTTTGTGTGCGAGGGGCTTGGACTTCCAGCAGGCATGCGTGAGCATGTTTTATAGGAGTGAATGGAGACAAATGGTTTTTAATACTTGATGTGCTGTTGGAGTGTGAGCAAAGTAACATTTATGAAGGGGTTCAGGGAAACCGGCAGGCCGGACTTGAGTCCTGGAGATGGGAAGTACAGTGCCTGCACTCTGAAGGAGGGGTGTTAATGTTGCAGTTTAAAAACTGTAGTGTAAAGCACCCTTCTGGCAAGACAGTGATGGAGTGAATGATGGTGAAAGTTTTTCTTTTTCGGGCCACCCTGCCTTGGTGGGAATCGGCCAGTGTGATAATAATAAAAAAATATAAATATATATATATATATATTTATTATATATATATGTATGTATGTATGTAATGTGTATGATCATGTAATGTCTAGCGAATTAAAAACAAAAACTGCCAGAGTTATCAGTTGTTGCAGAAGCCTTGTAGATAAGTCACTTGCTGATAAATGTTTGCTGCCATCAGGTTGCTTACCTGTCATACTGGTGACAGTAATATAAGTAACCATGGATATCTGGTCCTTGTGAGAGTTCAATTAGCTTGGGTTTGTCATGGACATAAAATAAGTTTATTTAGGTACAGGCACACATGAATACAGCTACACAAATTATCATACACAGTAACATATGTGGTAGTTATCTAGGATAACCCAGAAAAGTGATTTATTCCATTGAGGTCGTTGTCTTACTTCCTGTGAGTTACACATACCTAAGAACCCTAATCTAACCTAACAAAATGTAATCTAACCCATCCTAAAAATATAAAAATAAACGTAATTCAACCATACTCCTGTGGTAGATATGTCACTGGCTCGCCTTCATTTACACTGCATATTTTCCTCTGATAATTTCCATAAAAATGACAGTTCTGTATAGGATAAAGATAGCAAGGTATTATTAAAGATATATTAATCTACACAGCAATTATACGTAAGCTTCTTTTTATTCTTAGTTATCTCCCGATTACTACGTACATGTAATTTGTTATTTTTTAAGTGATATAATGAACAAGAATGACATGAAGCAGTGAGAGATGATGGTAAATGTTTGACCATGGTTGGATTGTGGTCTGCAGTAGTGCTGGAGTGTTACCTGCAAGGACAAGCTGTGGTGGTGCTCAGGCAGCAGCAGGAGCAGGAGCAGCAGGAGCAGCAGCAGACATCATGATGTTAAGAGGAAGGCAGGAATCAGCGGTGTCAGGCAAATGAGAAGAGAAGACCAAGCCAGAGTGTACATGACACACACACTGACTCACACACATACACACTACCGTACACCTCACATGCTAGCCTGCCCAGCCCCACCCTTCCTAGCCCCTCCCCACCCTTCCTAGCCCCTCCCCGCCCAGCCTAGACCCTCTCTTCCCTGTCTAACCCCTTCCCACCATGCCCAGCCCCACCATTCCTAGCCCCTCTCCACCCTGCCTAACCCCTCCCCATCAAGCCTAGCCCCTCCCTACCTAGCCTCTCCCCGCCATTCCTAGCCCCTCTCCATCCAGCTTTTCCCCTGCCATTCCAAGCCCCTCCCCACCAAGCATCTCCCCGCCCAGTCCAACCTCTCCCCACCCTTCGCCTCTAGGGCAAGGGAGGCCTTGAACCTCCTCAAGGGCTCTTCATCCATGGAATTAAATCCATCCATCACAACTGACCACCTGCCATTACCCACTAAAGCTAAAGGAATCTTATAAAAGAGTCAGTAATCGCGGGAAGAACTAAAAGCCATAAATGAAATCAAAAGACACCCAAAGTATTTCTTTTCTTATGCCATATCAAAGTCGAGAACAATATCCAGTATTGGGCCCCTACTTAAACAAGATGGGTCCTACACAGATGACAGCAAGGAAATGAGTAAGCTACTCAAGTCCCAATATGACTCAGTTTTTAGCAAGCCGCTAACCAGACTGAGAGTCGAAGATCAAAATTAATTTTTTATGAGAGCCACAGAATTTGGTTAACACAAGCCTATCTGATGTTATCCTGACGCCAAATAACTTCGAACAGGCGATAAATGACATGCCCATGCACTCTGCCCCAGGCCCAGACTCATGAAACTCCGTGTTCATCAAGAACTGCAAGAAGCCCCTATCACGAGCCTTTACCATCCTATGGAGAGGGAGCATGGACACGGGGGTCGTCCCACAGTTACTAAAAACAACAGACATAACCCCACTCCACAAAGGTGGCAGTAAAGCAACAGCAAAGAACTACAGACCGATAGCACTAACATCCCATATCATAAAAATCTTTGAAAGGGTCCTAAGAAGCAAGATCACCACCCATCTAGAAACCCATCAGTTACACAACCCAGGGCAACATGGGTTTAGAACAGGTCGCTCCTGTCTGTCTCAACTATTGGATCACTACGACAAGGTCCTAAATGCACTAGAAGACAAAAAGAATGCAGATGTAATATATACAGACTTTGCAAAAGCCTTCGACAAGTGTGACCATGGCGTAATAGCGCACAAAATGCGTGCTAAAGGAATAACAGGAAAAGTCGGTCGATGGATCTATAATTTCCTCACTAACAGAACACAGAGAGTAGTCGTCAACAGAGTAAAGTCCGAGGCAGCTACGGTGAAAAGCTCTGTTCCACAAGGCACAGTACTCGCTCCCATCTTGTTCCTCATCCTCATATCTGACATAGACAAGGATGTCAGCCACAGCACCGTGTCTTCCTTTGCAGATGACACCCGAATCTGCATGACAGTGTCTTCCATTGCAGACACTGCAAGGCTCCAGGCGGACATCAACCAAATCTTTCAGTGGGCTGCAGAAAACAATATGAAGTTCAACGATGAGAAATTTCAATTACTCAGATATGGTAAATACGAGGAAATTAAATCTTCATCAGAGTACAAAACAAATTCTGGCCACAAAATAGAGCGAAACACCAACGTCAAAGACCTGGGAGTGATCATGTCGGAGGATCTCACCTTCAAGGACCATAACATTGTATCAATCGCATCTGCTAGAAAAATGACAGGATGGATAATGAGAACCTTCAAAACTAGGGAGGCCAAGCCCATGATGACACTCTTCAGGTCACTTGTTCTATCTAGGCTGGAATATTGCTGCACACTAACAGCACTTTTCAAGGCAGGTGAAATTGCTGACCTAGAAAATGTACAGAGAACCTTCACGGCACGCATAACGGAGATAAACCACCTCAATTACTGGGAGTGCTTGAGGTTCCTAAACCTGTATTCCCTGGAATGCAGGCGGGAGAGATACATGATTATATACACCTGGAAAATCCTAGAGGGACTAGTACCGAACATGCACACGAAAATCACTCACTACGAAAGCAGTGTATCGACTTTAGGTGCTTGTCCAGTGTCAGCTTGAAGACTGCCAGGGGTCTGTTGGTAATCCCCCTTATGTATGCTGGGAGGCAGTTGAACAGTCTTGGGGCCCCTGACACTTATTGTATGGTCTCTTAACGTGCTAGTGACACCCCTGCTTTTCATTGGAGGGATGTTGAATCGTCTGCTAAGTGTTTTGCTTTCGTAGTGCCAGTTTTGAAGCATCACAAAAAATGTGGAGTATATTTTTCCCATTTGGATTGGCCACCTGGCGTGGGAACTCCAACATTGGAATTTTCTCATAATCACCAATTAATTCATCCCACCTGTTAATGAATTCCTCAGGTAGAATTTCATCCCAAGTACATTCAAGTTTCCATGCTTCCTGAATTAATAATTTCCCTCTTATAGTAAGGGGTGACACTAAACCTAGTGGATCAAAACATTTGGAAACTTCAGCAAGCAAAACTCTCCTAGTTAATTTATTGGCATACTGTAATTATTTTGGTTTTAACATTAACAAATCTCTCTCAGTATCCCAAGTTTAAACCCAATACATTACACATTTGGCACTTCTCCCAGGGAAATCTTTACTTATTTTGTCCTTTAATTTGGGCGAATTACTATTTCCATTCCCCAGAGCATATTTGCACTTTGCATTATTTTATTAGCCTCTCCTTAAGTCATTAACAGCGCCTCTTCAAATGACGTCACAACCCAGAAATTGTCCACATAAAATTGTTTGCTCATTACTTTACTCAATGGACTTTCCATACGTTTAAGGTGTGCATTTACCGTCGCTTGAAGTAGGAACGGACTGGATGTAGCACCAAATAATACGCTTTTAAAGCGAAAGGCTTTCAGAGGGCTAAGTGGGTCACTAGGATTCTCAGGCCATAAGAAGCGGGTACAATCCCGGTCAGCCTCTTGTAAACCCACTCTTAGGAAAGCTTTACTTATGTCAGCCGTAAAGGCATAGTGCTTCACTCTGAAATTTAAGAAGATATCTCCTAATTTTTCCGTCAACGACGGACCTGTCATCAAACAGCCATTTAAACTAGGTACATTTTTGTTACTCCTGGCACTACAATTAAACACAATTCTCAGAGGAGTGGTCTTAGAATTCTTCCTCACTCCGTGATGTGGCAAATAGTGACCATAAATTTTGGCTTGCTCAGGAGGTACCTCTTCTATAAATTTATTAATTAACTGCTCAGCAATTATATCATTATAGGCAGTTAACAATTCTGGTGTCTTACTCAGTTCGCGGAGCTGAGCCTTTAACTGTCCATATGCCATTCTGTAATTAGTGGGCAATCCACGGAAGTCGTACCCAGTATTGTCCAGATTCAAATTTCACATCTCTCAGGTACTGCTCCTGAGTAAAAGAATCGTCTGGACTTTCTTCATTTACATTTATTCCAATGCTGTCTAATTCCCACAATTTATGCACTGGCTCAACACCATTCTCTATGGATGAATTATACTGGGGTACAACATCATGAGTAAGACACACAGTTATGGTATTTGTAGTTTCCTCTAGTCATGAATTATTATTACGAGGAATCCTACCATACATTATATGGCCTCCTGCAGTCTTCAAAAGGGTGACACCACATTTCTTTACCATACCCTTTACAAAGGAGGCATAATAGTCACTACCTATCAAAATATTTATTGGGCCTACAGAATCATCACTTACACCAGAAGGTGCTAAATTTACATTATGTGAAAGTCTTTCTGTAGCTTTACTAAGCCCTACTGCAGATATTTTCTCTGGAAGTCTATCTACAATTACTGCATTAACACGTTTTTTCTCATTGCCCAACCTGACAGTTACATAAACAGTGTCATACAATTGAGCTCTTTTATCTGAGAGAAAAACATAATTTTGAGCGTGGGACTCCCATCTGTACTTATACCTTAAGAATTTCCCCAAACTTTTTTTTCCCCCAAAAAAACCCCAAAAAACATTCCCCCTTTCCCAAAAAATGTTTTTATTTTGATTTTTTGGAAAAATTAAAAACTTTAATTATTTATTTAAATTGGCCTTCCTAATACAAACCCAAAGTTCAAAACTCATGGGTAGGATTGTTTAAATTTTGGAATTTTTTTCTTTTTTTGAAATCCCCTGGATTTTTCCCAAAAGGATTTCCCTTTTTTGAACCCCACCATTAAAACCCTTTTTTAAAAATACTTTTGGAGAATATCCAAAAATTTAAGGCCTTTACCAATTGGGCAGCAGGTATCTAAACCAAAAGGAATTTCATTTTTGGTTTTTAAAATTCATTTCAACTTCTTTGGGGGCTCGCATTGTGTCCCCCCTTTGAGGGAAAACAATTAATGGAAAACATCAAAGGTACCAAATAAATACCACGAAGGTCCCCTTTTCTTTCATCCAAAAAAGTATGATGAAACTTGAAGCCCCTTCAAAGGTCCTCATTTTTTTTTGATGGCTTAAATGTCCTTCATACTTTTCTCCTAACCTTGGGGGAAACTCGATCCCCTTTTAACCCAATCCAATTATTTAAAAAATGATACATTGGGATAATAACCCCTTTTCTTTGCCCTGGAGTTGCATTTTAAAATGTTAGTGCTTGCCAACCCAAAAAACAAATCGAGACCACCCCTTATCTAAAGGACAAAAAACCTATTTTTTCCCAGAATTCCTAAAAATTTTTTCAGTAAACCGTACAATTGCCTCAAACCAGCAAACTTCGTTTTTCCCCTAAGGGGTTGGACCTAAAGGGGTTAACCATCTACTGATTGATCTGGGTTTTTAAATTAAACCATAATCTGATTTAACTCCCCATGGGTCCTAAATTACCCCCAAAAGTGATTTTTATCAAAATTAAATTTGCTTTTGAAGAGCCTACTTGGGGAAAACTTACAATGAGAACTCAGCCCCCATTTTTTTACACGCTTACATTTCTCTTTTTTTTTTTCTCTTAAAAATTGCCCAAAAATTCCCCCTTTTTTCACCAGGATTAAATACAGGTAAACATAG